AGCTTTCCACACATGGCAATGGCAGCGCTGGAAGACTTCAGGGCTACGGACAGCGGGAATGAACGATGACTGGGCCCAGTGGAGCCACCAGGAGTGGCGCCACCAGGCCATGGGGCCAGCCGGGCCTGGTGCTGGGGCCCTTAGCGGCTGCAGCGGCTCTTCTGGCTCAAATGGCCCGTCTCCTTTCTCGGCACCGGTCCTGCAGATGATGAGTCTCGCAAGCTGGCCGTCGATGGTTTCCAACATGATGCTCGGCCACCCTCTCCCGAACTCTCAGGGGGAGCAAGCTGAGCATGAAGAGAAGAGATACGATGGCACGGTGAAGTGCTTTTATGGTGAGAAGCACACAGGCCATGGCTTCATCTTTTGCCCGGAGATCTACAACCGTACCGGTCAAGACGTGTATTTGCATGCACGGCAAGCGCACCGGTGCGAAGTGGGAGATGAAGTTAGTTTCACCGTGGTCTTCAATTCCAGACGAGAGCCGCAAGCTCGATCCGTCGTGAAAAAAGAGGAGGAGGGGAAGTTCCTGTCGAAGAAACGGGAGGAAGCCGAGAGACAAGCGAACGCCTTGCAGATGAAGCGCCAAAGGCCGAGCATGACCTCTGCGGCCTCTGCTGCCTCCGCCTCCGGGGCCTCCGAGTCCGTGATGACAGAGGAGCAGGCCAGGAAGTTCCAGAAGTCCCTCCAAAAGGGAAGGTGAACGACAAAGAGTCGCGACGACTCCGACGCCCCAGAAAGAGAAAAAGACAGAGCTTGCGAGCTGGCGCCCACAGTTGCACCTGCTCGCGAAATAGTCCTCTGCAGAAGCTTCACCGCCAGGCTTGCAGCTCCTGACTCCGGCCTGCAACCCGCTGCAACCCGCTGCAACCCATTGACCCAGGCCCCCCAAGTCCGGACACGCCTCAGAAATCTGTTGAAGCGCCATGGAAGTGGCCTTGTGGTACGACCGGCAGATGAAGGCCAGGCGCGCGGAAAATCCGCTCCGTTCTGAGCTCCGGAGCTCCGCGTCTGCCGAGGTGCGGCCGCTCTGCACCAAGGCGAGGGAAAGGGACGGACGACGGGACGGGACGGGGGCCGAAGCGGGGGCGAAGCGGGGGAGGCCTTGAGCTCCTCTTTCCTGGCGGCCTGCAGCTGCGTGCCGGGACTGCAAACATGCCGAGAGAGATTAGCCGCGCGCCGAGAGACAGCTTACCGAAGGCGCTGGCCCAGGCGCTTCGGCACCTTGGATTCAAGGAGCCCTTTTGTGTCGGAACCCGTTGGCGCAAGTACGAGCGCGGCGCAAGGCGCCGGGCGTCTTTGCGGGAGCTGGCGAGCTTTACGTTGCAGGCGCTTCGGGGGGTGTGGGATGGTCCCGGCTCCGCCCAAGCGGACCGCCCCGAGCCGAGGCCGCGCCGCCTTTGGGCCATCTCTGGTTCGAGCTCTTGGAGGCCAAGCTGGGGTCCGAGGCTCAGAGTCAGAGGCTGTCAGGCTCCCGTCTTTGGCGACTCGTCGCCGAGGCCGGGGAGGATCCTGGTGAAGACCATGGTGGCCACCCGTCGGCCTCTATGAAAGAAACGCACGTCATGGGGCCAGGGGTCCTCTGCGCGCCGCCAGCCGTGCAAGTGCACGGGGCCTCTGTCTGCGAGGACCAGGCGCTCTTCAGGCCGGTGATGCTCCTCTACACCTTCGCCGCGCGCCGAGACGCCGATTGCGCGATGCATCGCATCGCAGAGCGAGACTGCGCATGCGAGGTGCTGGGAGGCCTCCTAAGCGGACAGAGCTGGGCAGAGGCCTTCAGAAGCGGCAAGCGGCGAGCTTCTGGCTGTGCTGGCTGTGTCAGGTACGAAGGAACGTCCGTCAGAACCTGGTTCAGGCGAACCGAAGCTTCCGCTTGTCGAAGTCGAAGTCCTCTTCGCAAGGCTCCGTATCTTCCTTTCGAGGTGCTCGTGGCCTCCTGGAAGGTCTGGCCGGCAGCCGTGCTCTTCACTCAGAGGCCCCTGCTTCGCAAGCATCAGCAGAACATGAATATATATATATATATACACACACACATACATACATATACATGTCCATATACATATACATTTTTTTCCATTTGCGAGCGGTAGAGTCTTGTACAGACGCGCGCCTATGCACAACCAATTGAATTCTTGTGAAACTGAAATGAGGTCACTCGGGTGAGCGGAGTCCGGACTCTTCGCAATAGAATCCCAGTGCCTCAAACCAATCCTTAAAGACTGGGAAAGGTTTCCATATTCCAGGGCAGTCCAACAAAACTGGCCCGTCTTGGGCCTTTTGGACACACGCAGCTAAGACTGTACAAGCCGCAGTTGTCCAAGTCGTTAGAGCAGTGGCACTGCGCAGAGTGACACCGGTAGGCTCTGATAACGACATACAGACTCCTGGAGGACGTTCGAGAGAGGGCAGAAATGGCTGGCCGGTGAGATTGAAGGAGAGCCTGCCAGGGGACGTCCAAGTCGGGACGGAAAAGGGCACAGACTTGGAAGCCTTGCCTTCATGAGGGAAGGTTTCAGCAGAAATCTCCGGATCGAGCAAAAGAAGCATGTTCTCGGCGACTTCTTGATGCCATTCGCTCTCGGGGTGGCTTTCACGCCAACACTTTACAGTTTGCCTTAGAATGTGCAAGGGTTCTATGTGTTCGACAATGCATTGCCACACTTCGTCCTCCCCGCACTGGGTCAACTGCTGCAGATCAGCCAAAAGTCCACGGGCGACGTCAGGGGGCTCAGAAGGAGCAGCAACGGTATGCCATGTACCTGACTCAGCGAAGGGAGGCGCTTGAGGGTGCATCTTGGAAGGTTTCTTCGCGCCATCAGGACAGAAAGCACCCCATCCTTGCACACATGCCGGCACTGAAGTTAAATGTCGGCGAAGCCTGCCGTTAGTGCCAAAGTTTTTGCCACAGCACAAACACAAGTTTCCTTGTCCGGTAAGGAAAGAAGTGCTGCGGTACCCATGCATCCTAGTTGCATGTCCGGCCCATGACACTCGGCTTCGGAATGCTCTGCGGCACGGGAGACAAAGCTCGGGGAAATGCTCTGTTTGAGCTGCGCCTACACAAGGCGTACCTCCGGCGGCCGACATAAGGCCTCGATGAAGCTGATCGAGAGCAGCAACCAGGGCAATACGGCATCTGTCCAGCCCGCATGCTCGTCGCACAAGGCCTTTGAAGCAGCCTGGACGATTCTGCATGCACTGTCGCCATTGCTCCCAATTCTCAAATGGGTCTTGCAGCTTCGAGGTAGCATGGGTCCATTGGAATAACCACCGGAGGTCGGAAAGCAAAAGATCCGCATAAGGGCGGTCAGCGCGAATGGATGCCCAAAGCTGCGGGGGGCCAGCCTGGACGAGTTGCCGCAGATAAGACAACCTGCATCTACGCAATGTAGTGTCGGGGCTGTCGAGCCCACACAAGGCACAGCACACAAGTGCAGTGAGTTCCTGGTCACCATTTCGCGGAACGCACAGAATCCCCCGATAGAAGGCCCAAAGAGCCGCATCAAAGGTGTGCTGGTCTCCGCGACTCAAAGGGGGCCAGGAGCCAGCGCCCTGCAGGAGCCTTGAAAGGACGGTGGACTGCAAAAGCGTAGCCTTCCTTTTGAGCTGGATTGCTCTGTTCTTGAAGATTTTTCTTTTGGCTTCTTGGTAGGCTGAACGCGCCTGCGAAACCCTGTAGCGAACTTCCTGCGACACAGCACCAAAGGGTGTTTGTACAGTGCCAAGATGCTTGTACGACTCAACCAAGGGCACATGTACAGGAGCGGCATGCTCACAGCGCCATTGCAGCCACTTGGGCCGAAGAGTTGCCGGCGCGCAGCCCTGGAATGAGCTCCACATGGGGAAGCAACAACGGCAGTCTTGTGTGGGCCGAAGGTCAGACGCATGCCAAAGGACCCAAAAGCGTCTGACAAAGCACCTACTTCAGTGGCAATCGCAGACTGTGCTTGGTCCGCCGACGCACCATCTCGGAATGGCAAGGTCATCCGCCCATACTACTTCCTTAACTGCAATACGCTGGCGGCAGTCAGTCTCAGAACACCCTTGCAAGGTAAAACAGCCGTCCCAGGGCAGCTCTGGCGCAGCAGATCGTTGCATACCATCATCTTTCAGGGAGTCTCGGAATGCCAAAACACGCGGTACCAGGAAGGCAAACAGAACATCCGCGAAGGCAGAGCCTGGCCGAGTGCCACGGAAAGTACGGATTGGTACATCATCGTCCTTAAGGATGAACCAGTTTCCGGCAGACATATTGGCTGCAACCGCCTCGATCCAGTCGGCAGCACCAACTTTTGTCAGGGCTGACTCGCCAGCCAGATGCGACTTAATGTCCTCAACATCGTCTAAAGACAGATGCAGCTGCTGGGTGATGCGCTGGAAGAGCTGGTCCGTCATGCCGGCTCCATTCGACGCTATGAGCTGGGTAATAGCGCTATAGAACGCAGACGCGATGTCGGCAAAAACGACAAAGCAGGTTTTCTTACGCAAATGCGCTATACGCGCAAGGCTCCGAGCTAGGTGAGCTCCAAAGACTACGCTACACCCTGCTCGGCCTCCAAGTTGAAGAGCCGGGGCAGTCCCTTCAAACAAGGACTTGAGCGGTGGTCTGAGACATTGGTGCACAGATTTCGCAAGGCAAGACAATAGTAGCACAGCTCTATATGAAGTGCATTCGTCATGTGCACCACGTTTTTTGCGAAAGAAAACCGAGCAACCGCCTTTCCATCCAACAGGCTCGCATCCACGCCAAACATGTTTGAGCATCAAGGGATGCAATACGTCCGCAAGATCAGACGCGAAGTGCTTGCATAACTCCGGTGGCAAGGAGTCAAAACCTGGTGCCTTGTTGACCTTGGTTGCTGCAAGCGTTCTCTGCAGCATCGCAGCCGTCGGGATAAGATCAGCATGCTCAGGGTGAGGCCATGCCGGGACCTGCGCAGCCTTCACATCAAGTGCTTCGCCAGCTATGCCTAGGAGTGACGAAGTTTGTCCGGCTTCGAGTGCCCCGAAGTGCACTCTCCAACGTTCACGTAGTTCGAGGGCATCCGTACAGACAGTGCCATCATCTCGCTTCAGCCCTGGCAAGGGCTCAAGTTGGAATGGTTTTTTCCTCTTATGTCCCAGCAGCCGATGGAAGGCAGCGAACATTTCACGGGAGGAACCTTGATCAAACTGCAAGGCCAGACTGTTGATATACGCATCTCGATCAGTTCTGCACGCCTCACGAAGAGCTCGGCCGGCGAGCCCCAAATGATGGATGCCGACGAATAGAAGAAAGCGCACTTGCTTGACCCACTTGTTGTCAAGGTAAAGCTGGACAAAATCGGTGTGTGAGTCTTTCCACACACAAAAGGCAGCAGCAGCACTATGCCACTCGAGTAGGTGCTGTCGGTGATGGACGGCTCGCCGAATGTTGGAGACTAGACGCTGAAGCTCCCAAGTGGAAGCTTGCATGTAGCTCTGTCGGGGCCGCCTGGGGCTACGTGCCGCGATTTTCTCTAGGCCACGCTGCAGATGATCTGTGATGATAGCAGCGTGGGCGTGAGCCGAGACATCCCACGGAACCGTAGGCGTGTTCAGGAGGATGTGCCGAATTTGGTCCGCATTTTCAGGAGCAACGACATCTGCAACCCTAATGCGTCGTCTGCGGGCACACGAGCTCCCGGAGCGAGCTTGCAATGTGATCCAGGTGTCAACGACGGTAGCCACATGATCCTGATTGACATGAGCAGCATGAATGCTCGGATCTGTCCAGGAACGTACTTGGCCTTGGGCCCAAGCTCGGGGGATCAGGATAAAATCCGGGCGACACAATTTGCCGGACTTCTTCTGATGGTAAGTGTGCGTGGCTCCCGTGTGGCAATCTGCAAAAGAGCATGGTGCCCAAAGATCAAAGTCTTGGGCAAGTTGCCGCACACACTCCCCTGCATCGTCTTCAGGCTCGGCCGCATGGGAGCCAATAGCTTCCGAGGTTTCTGAGCCTAGGGCAGCATTGAAATCCCCAGCAACTATAAGTAAGTCGCTTTTAATGAAGTGTCGAAGCAACGCAGCTGTTTCACTCCACCACTGTCGGACTTCACGGCTCTCAGTGGCCCGATGTGGTCCATGCAGAGAAACAAGGAGCAAGTTCGTAATAGAAGTGGTGACCCGGATGAAGAGTCGCCGCGGGTCAGCATGCAGAGAAGTGGCTGATGACGCGGTAAGGCACCCTTCCCTGCTACTACCTGTGAGTGGCTTGCCGAAAACATATCCGCTTTTGATCCAGACTTCGGTGCCCCATTGTCCGCGGACAGCCCCTGAGGCAAACCGAAGGAAATCTCCGGCACGGCCGCTGCCTTCAGAGCAGCGAGCTTCCTGCAAAAACGCAACATGAACTCCCTGCTGGTGAAGTTGTTCGGCTAACAAAGCTGCTCTTCCCGGGGTGTAGTGCCGTCCACCGTGCCTTATGTCGGCACCTGCGGATGCAATGTCAGATCCAGCGAGTGATAAAGTGTTGAAGGCAGCACACCGAAGGGAGATGGCAAATTGTTGGGGCGTTTGCACCTCGACATGTTCGTCGGAACGTCCCTGAGGGAGACTGTCGACAGGCACAAAGGGGCGGATGACATCTGCATGGCTCAACCCTGCATGGTGTGAATCGGCGCCTAGGTCTGCACAGTTAATTGGCGGCATACGAACATCGCCACCGCAGGCACGGTAGACGACGCCTACCCAATGCAGAAGACCGGCACCTTTTCCAAGCCAGGCCCGGAGCTCCGCAGCAGAAACGTCAAGGCCTGCACTCTCACGGTCATGTCTGGCTCCTTGCTTTGCGAGAATGTCGGCAATCTCATTCCCTATGTGGCCTGAATGACCTGGAACATAGGCACAGGAGTCGGTATGCCCCGTGTGACTGCGCAAATGGTGAGCATGTCCGGTGGCTTCAGCTATACCTCCAAGGTGTACCTGTGAACTTCCATCAAAGGCTTGCAAGGCAGCTTGGCAGTCCGACAGGAAATGTACAGCAGCCCCATGTAAGGCAGCCGAGCAGATGAGACTCCCTGCGGTCAAGGCAAAACACTCAGCAATGTGTGCCGACCCGTCGTGCATATTGGGCTCAAGGTACTGGGGGACAGCACCCCATGCACATCTAACTCTACCCGTACTGGGCTGCACAAAGACGCAAGCCCAGCCAAGCTTGCTGGGCGAGCCAGCTTGAGGAGGTGTGAAGGAACCATCGGTATAGCACCAGATATCCTGCGTACCATGGACACAGGGTGAGCATTTGGCAAGAACGTCATGCTTCCAGCGTCGCTGGATTGCTGGCACGGCGGCACATGTCGCTTCCCACGACAGCAGACACACTGGGGCAGCGAGAAGGTCAATCACGTCAGCGACGGAAAAGCCTAAGGGCGTAGAACCAATGTACAGCCTATCATCTGCTTCAATACCCGGGCGGGAAGGCATGCAGAACCGGCACCCACCTGCGAAGAAGGGCTCTTCCGCCCCTGGTATAAGCTGATGCAATTCTATCTTGCGACGCGGTGATGGAAGCACAGGAATGGCAGGCGGTTTATGCGGGTATTTGGCTTGAAAATGCTCGAGGAGTGACTCAAGCAAAGTGGACGCCAAGAAAAATGAGGAAGCGCCGGGTTTCCAGATGGCTTCGGCAAGGAGGGTGCAGCTTCCGGCAGCCGATGAGAAAGCATCCACACCGTGCGCTTCGTCCTCATCAGCATCATGCGTAACAACCTGGCCGAGAGTTCGTGTAGGGATTTTGTCAAAGTTGAAAACCTTGCGGTTGTGGGAAGCACGCTCTGCCCTAGCAGGGGTTGGCAAGGGCCTCATCCGTGCACGCTGCCCGAGAGTGCTGGAAAGTGTTCTACCAAAACGAGCGCAACTGGGAATATCACTACGACAACCGGGCCCCGCATACGGGCATGAAGACGCAACTGCGGTGGCGGTCCCACATTGCAGCATAGCGGCGAAGAGGACAAGCCGGTTGCAGCCCACCAGCTGGCAATGCCGGTGGGCCCAGCTACTGCAGCTCGCTGTGCCTTGCAAGGCTGGCGGATTGGCCGAGGCTGGCACCTGCTAGGTGAGTCTCGCTGAGGAGTCACATCTGCTGGGCGGAAGGTGCTCATTCCAGAAACGCTAGAAGTATCTGGGGACTGTGCGGGCCTCGAGGACGCAACTGTATAGCCAGCATCAGAACTGGCAGCGCCGGTGCTGCGTGCTAGTGCGCCTCCACGGTCAGGGTGTGTAGCACCTGTGCCGGAACGTGGATCAAAGATATACGCCTGTGAAGGCATATCGCGCAAGGGTGTACTGAGATAATCGGGCTGAAATTCAACCCGCAGAACATCGCCTGGAAGGACGGTCCTAAAGTGATTTGAACTGTCTCCTTGATTCCGCCCACCTATCTGACAGGGCACCTAGAGACAAGTCTTTGACACAATGCAATCACATCAACTCGTCCGTCTGCTGCATACGCCCAAGTGATATAAAGGAGAATCGGCCGCAAGTCTATCAAAAAGGGTGTGCGCTCATCTTGAGAAGCCGGTGCAAGATCGGCCGTGTGGCACGCCGCAAAGACAGCATTGGAGAGTCGGCCACAAAATGCGTGATCATCAACGGCCGGACATGACGGAACCAAGACAAAACTGCCGGGAACAAGTGCAAGGACGGCTGCAGCAGCGGCATTGTCAGCCGCAAAGGCATCAACCGAAATATGAGCTGCACGGCGCAAGCCATCAGAGAGCACCCAATTGACGTCGGCGTCGCTGCCAGGCAGCACAAGGTTGCTGTTCCAATCCCTGTTCGTTCTCAGAAGTCTGTCGAGGTCATATGCAGGCGGTAGGCTGCCTGTGCGCTGGATGATGATCAAATCACCTTCGCTCGGGAATGCATCAGCCCCGGGCGGAATTGCCCAAGGTACGTCCTTTATGAAAACTTGCAGGCCTCGGTCGTCAGCAGACAAGCCTGAAACGGTCAAGAATGACTCCCTGGTGCACCTCGGAGGAACAATGACAGAGAAGATGCCTTCAGGTGCCACTTGATTGTCAATCAAGACTGCAATTCCAGGGTATTGCCAAAAGGGAAGGGCAAGAATGCACGCTTGATGTTGGCGGGGCTGTGGGTACACACCTACAAGCCTTGGGCTGCGCCTATGATCGTCTGATTCTCTGAGCTGCGCCACAAGCGAAAGAGCTTCTAGTGCTCCACTAAGAGGTGGGAGCCTTGCAAGCACAAGTTCGGGCCAGTATTCTTGGGCAAAAATCAAGAAGGGCACTGAGATAGTACCCGCAGGGTCACATGAAGTGCCGATCACACCAACTGGTACGACCTCCTGTGTGGCACCTGGGCGAGGGCGTTCTGCTACATAACGGCTACTAGAGCGGATAGCTCTCAGCCCACACTGAATAGGTCGACAGTCGAGAAGGGCAAGGAAGATGTGACCTGCATCAAGCAGCCTTCCAGCTTGTTCAAGGGCAAGAACAGATTGACACTGAAAGCCGAAAAAATCGACATTCGTGGGCTGCGGTTGGGCTGCCTGAATGAAGAGATTGCAAGGTGGTATGCCAACTGCGTTGGCAATGTGCATACGCCGTTGTGCTGGCTGGTTGGCGGGGATATCATACACTCGGCAAAAGGTCTGACGCACAAGACAGTGCTTGTCAGAATGATCCACTGCAGGCACAAGATCCTCAGCGCGCCAAGGATCTGACATGAGCAATTGGTCGCCAAGGGCAGCGAGATGGGGCGGCCCTGTGCCGTAAGGCAGGAAGGAAATTACCCCTCCTGGGAAGATGTGAATCGGATTCTCCCCAATAAGCGGATGATCATCTCTTCCTACATAGATGTCTACGTCTGCGTGTTGAGAGAGCTGCGCAAGCTGCAAGAGCGCGTGGCGTGCAATGTAATCTGGCACATGTAGGGCAAAAAGCCGTCCGTCAAGGGAGATAAGATTGAAGCAGAGGCCATGTTGCTCAGTAGCCCATGTGGGGCCGGCAATGAAGACTATGTTCCCTAGCACGGTTGCGGATGTACATCAATCAGATCAGGAAAAGCAGTCCGATCTGGTGCAGCACGTGCCTCATTGACATCCTGCCTGACTTCTGCTATGACAGCGGGTACGTGGAGAGAGACATGGCATTTTTAAGCAACATACCCAACTTTCAAGATAGTACAACTTACAATGGTGTGAGTGTCTTCAGCGATGTCGGCAGTGGGAGAAAGAGCATCATGCTCGCTCTCAAGCTCATCCCCAAAGATGTTGAAAAGCGCATCTCGCATCCAACGTCCTCCCAACAGGGCCGTGACGCGCCGCAGGCCTGCCAGACGTCGTCCCTCACATGAGTTTTGGCTGCATGGCTCAGCCAGCAGCTTATGTTGCCTAGGCCTGGGTACATCACACTCAGCCAACGCAAGCAAACCAGCAAGGCATCCAAAGGGCCATGTGAATGGGATGCACGGCAGCACATCAAGATCCCACAGCACGTTCCTGAATTTGGTTATGACAGGAGCACAACTTGATTTAAGCGCGTGTTGACCTGAACCTGCGGACAGAAGGACATGGTCATTGCAGCCGCACATCGTAGATCCCTTCACCTCAGAACCTGCGCTGCCGGGAGTTCCCCTCTGACGAGGGCCGAACACGGGGGCTTTATCAGAAGCACCACATGAAGTGTTATCGCCAGCATCGTCCAAAACGGCACTAGCGGCTTCTCGTTGACCGATGCAGGGGCATCCGTCTCCGCTGTCTGGCGCAAGGTCGATTACTAGAACGGTGCCGTCATTGACAAGCAACAGGGTATCATCCTCCGCATGAACATGCTGAGCACCCCAAACTTGGACAACTTTCCCAGCTGGGCAAAAGGGAGAATACCTGCGGGCGAATTCCCTCAAACTGATTCGGCCTGTACTGGATGTGAGAGTATCAAAGCCGAGAAGCAATGGCCTTTGATCAAGTACAACAATGAACGCACCGAAAGCAGGGCCTCTGAGCTGCGGAATTGTCAGTGAGGCTATAAGGAGCTCACGGACTGCCCAGCCTTCCTTAAAGAAGTCAGTGACCCCTGGTTGTGGCACAACGACAGCAAGTTCATCAGGGGGGCACCCAAGGGTAGAAGCGATGTCGGTCTTGCTTGCAACAATATGTTGGGGACCAACGAAATGACGACACTCAATGTGGTCAGCCACAATCCATATGGCATCATCAAAGCGGAAGGGCAGAGCAGGATTCAGGTGCCACTGCTCCACACGTCGTAGCATCTCATCCAGGTGCGGCAAGGTTTCGGCAGGGTCCCAAGGAGCAGTCGCAACAATCAGCATGCCTGCTCTTACCTCGATCGCCTCTGACGAGGTGGGGGCATACACACCTCCTGCTATGTGCAAGGTGGGAATGTCAGTAAAAGAGTCATTCCCTCGCCTTACGTATGCAACAAGCTCACCATACGAAGCATGAGGCGGCACCAAACAAGGATAAGCAAGGCCTCCAATTCTTCTGCAGTCGAAGAACACAGCAACTTCAGCTCTTGCCCAAGTTGGTACACTGAGGATAGTGGCAAAGTGTGGATCAGGTTGCGGGAACACTGGAAGCAGAGTTGGAAAGCGACGCTGAAGGTCGTCTATTCTTGCACTCTGTAAGTCGTCGAGAAGTTTTTGTGACGTGGTCCCACATCTGACAGGGATATGGACAATGTCAGGTCGGTATCCCAAGGCACAAATCACAGCAGTGACAGGCAAGAAGCACTCAGCATCTATGCTGCACATGGGTGCATCTTCATCAAGGGTCTGCAGGCCTTGATGCTGGTGGCCCAAGGTGCAAGAAGTCTCGCGATCAAAGGAGCCTTGAAAGGACCTGTCAGAGCTTTCGCCTTCAACAGTAAGGGAGCGAAAGGGAGTTCTAGACCTGGTGGACAAGTCTGAAACATTGCCGACGGACTCCTCTTCATTCGGGTCCGAGGAGAAGTCATCTTCAGACTCTGGTTGTTCCTCGGAATCATCAGGGATCCTTCGAAAAGCAAGTATGAGCACTTCTCCGGAGAAAAAGTGAAATCCTTCAGGAGTCTTCCTGCCTCCTCGAACAACAAGCCGCCATCCACTAGGCGGCTGTCCAGAATGCCGCCGAAGCTCGTCGCGACTGATGAAACACTGAGGTGTTTCAACGAACGTCAGGTCCCCTCCGGTGGCCCTAACATCAAGAAATACAACAAAGGGCAGGTGATGTCCATCCGGGCTCGTGTCTGAAGTCTTAGGTGACACAGCAATTGCTCCACGGAAGGAAGTCCCTCTATAAACGAAGGCACCTAGGTCGTCAGGATCAGCCGCCTGAAACCTGATGTCGCACAAGGGCACACCGATTAAGGCAGCAATGCGGTTCTTGTTTAGCCAATCATCAGAGACAACTTGGCTAAAGACATACTTGCGGTCGCCATGGAAAATCAGCAAGCAGGAAGCACGTCTGGTGCGGGGGCGTTGACCAACTCGAAGCCAATGAACATCGCTCCAAAGCAAGTAGGGTAGCAGAGGTGGCCAAACAGGAAGATGTCCCTGAGGAACGAGGCGGATGACAATGCCGTCTTCAAGTGTAACAGCTTCTCCGCGAAGTATGGCATAATTGCTATCGCCTACAAACATTGAGTGCTCAGCAACAGTGGCAAGACCAGCTGCTCTGTCGATCTCTCTCTGCGACGTTTGTTGGGGAAGAGTGACTGCGAAAGCAGCGCCCCCAACAGGGCGGGCGTCTATCACCGCTGTTACAAAGCCGGCCTCAGTGTACCAAGAGGGTGTAACAACCAGGGAGGCATACCCTAGCCCAAGCTGGGGACTCGTCGGGATTATCTGGTCCCAAAACTCATCTACAAACTCCCCAAGGGCAGTTCGAGCAAAGGGAAGAAACTGCTCAAGGGACGTCGGCATAGGGCAATCGAAGCATCCGGTTTCGATGGGAAATCCAGGTTTGCACGCCGCAAAGTGAATAGTTGTAGCGTGGTCGTTGGGAACAGACCACACGTCCTCAAACGCTTGTGCGGTAAGAGCAGCGGCAGTGGTTGCCCCAGGCGAAGAGGCATTGGGATCACATCGAAAAGCCTGAAAAGATGGGCTATCTTGGTGCACAATGGCAACACCACCTGAGGGTGCGCTGGGGTCAGCATGCGGAGCTTCAGACATCAAAGTGTCTGATGGGAATTGCTCAGGCAGAAGACGCGCCGCTCTGTCACATTGGTGTATGCCATCTATGAACTCACCCGGCACTGCCCACACCAAACGCGGAAGCGTTGAGAACCCTACAAGGGCACGCAAAAGCCAATGGGGAACACTTCTTGCTTTGCGCACTCTATGCAGGTTGCGTCGGTCAGGCGGGGCTTGTGCTGGTACCCAAGTGGCGTCGGGATTCACACGACCAACACATGCCAAGGGAGCAAGGACGCTAATGTCAACCTTTGCAGAAGGCACGGACAGGAGTCTCCCGAAGGGGGAGGGGAAAGCATGCAAGGCACACAACACAAGCCTCCAGGGCGAGTCCAACGATCCCAAGCAGGGCGATGAAGAAAGCAAGCAGATGCTGGCACAGTAAAGTCGCAAAATCTGCCAGCACCCAGTTATGCCAAGGGCAAGAACGCGCTATGGCACAGAGTTTTCCTACAGCTCCTGCCCCAGAGCCACCGATGCAGGTATTTGGCGCCTGTAGGAGAAACACTTGCCTGAATGGCTTAGAGCAACAACAGTACACTTGCATGACAACTGTGCACACGCTGCTGCAAGGGGCCAAAGGCCAATATTGCACGTGGCCACACATAGGTCCGAGACCATAGGAACACTCTGGGGGCATAGAGTGAGGGACATTGTCATGGGCCTCTTGGCAAACCTCCATGCATATGGGAAAGCCGCCTTTTGTAGTAAGGAGGGACCCAAGAGAGTCAAGCCTTTGCAAAACTGTGCCATGGTGTTCGAGGACAGTGAGCTTGCGCTCGCAGAATGAAAAGGCGCAGCCACATGATGGCGAAGGAGAGAAAGGAATACCACGAACCCAATGGCATCGAATCTCTCGCGAGGACAACGACACCGCCTTGCCAGCCACAGCAGGCCCAAAAAGGGAGAGCTGCAGCGGCTTGGCTGTGTAACGGAAGGAATTAGGGCGAAGACCATATCCCAGTCGCAAGAAGGTATGGTCGCAAAGATCCAGAGCGTGGACAAGGTGAGTGACTGGTGAGAACCCCTGAGCCACCGACGTTCTTCTTAGGCACCAATCAAAACACTTGAACCGCTCCAAACAAGGAGCGCCGTCACCCGGGCAGGAACGAGAGGGAAGTCGCGAAAAGCAAGGGACCTCTGCAGTCATCCAGGAGCCCATATTCTTGATGTACACATGAGGCGTGAGCTGTGAGTCCAAAAAGGGGGAAGCCTCAAAAAATGGTGAGACGCTAATCCCATCACTGAAAGGGTTGTTCAGACGGGGCGAGGCGCAGCCTCCTTCGTTCTGGGAGCCTTGTCCTCCAAGCTGCTTGAGCAAAGGGGAAGGTAAATGGCACCCAAGCCAAACCCTCCCTCGGTGCTCCGGGCTTGTAAGACGGCAACAGCAGAACGAGGAGGCCGAGCCACCTTGAGCGTCCCATCGTGCCATGACAAGGTAGAGAAAAGAGCTCGTTATTCCATGTTTGTCAGGCTTGGGGCCGTATCCGACAGATCCTCGTCGTCTGCGATGAACAAAGGCGGTGCCTCTCTCGGGCCTCCATGCTCCCTCGGAGGAGCGGAATCGTTCTCGACAGGCGGCGCTCTGAAGGGATGGAGCGCTGTGCGCCGTTCCTCCCTTTTTGCCGCCAGCCTTTCTGCCAGGCTCGTATTCATAGTCTCTGTCTCCGAAGGGGTAGCAGCCGCAGGCGGCGGAGTAGCAGCCACAGCGGCCTCCACCTCGAGACTTCTCCCTGGCGGCCTTGCCGGGGGCGGGGTCCGCGGCATGCCGGCATAGCGCTGCGGAGTCTCCGAAAAACGGCCCACAGATGCAGCTGGAACTGCAGTCGTCGTAGGCGGGACACTTCCCGCAGGCGCCGGTGCTGCAGCGGTGATTCCGGTACCAAAGGTAGGACTCGCCATGTATGGATCCGAGACAGTGCCCGTTGGAGAGGTATGGTTGTACGCAGTCAGGCCTGGAGCTGGAGCAGCCACTGGGACAGGTACATCCGGTGGTGCAATCCCGGGCTGAAGGCGCTGTGCCGCTGTATAGGCTTCTTGCAAGAAGCCCGCTAGGGGCGCTGTCTCCTCGTCCTCCATGATCATGCGTTCCCACTCTTCTTCCTCGACCTCCATGGCGGTTTCTTGCTGTTGTGCAATCTCCACACCTTGAAGCACGATCAGCTTCATGCGCTCGGCAGCCGCGTGGCCGTCCGCTGTCGCTTGCTTGATGTCCGCTTCGAGCTTGGCCACGTCTTCGCCAAACTGGCGCTTCTGCTTGGCATAGTTTTGCCGCTGATCTACGACAAAACGGTCCCACTGCGTCTTGCGAAGGCTTACCTCGGTCTGGAGCCGCCGGATCCTGGCATCGGCTTTCCTCGCTGTTGTTAAGGCTCGTTGTACAGCTTGAGTAGTGGTAAGCAAAGGAGCCCCGCCCGCAGCGTTCTCCTGCCACGGTGCAAGAGCAGTCTCGGATCTGCCCTTGCCGCCTTTGCCAGCTATGGGGACTCTGTCGTAGCGTGGCTGCTGTTGGGCTTGCTGTTGAGACCGCGGCGAAAGAGCCCAAGCACCACGCCAATAAACATCTCCATGGTCGCGCCATGCTGCGCTTGATCCTCCTTTCTTGCCTCCCATCACACGACGGAAGCGTGGTTGCGAGTGATGTCTCTCCAGCAAATGCAGATCCTGCGAACGAAGTCGCAGACCCGCCAGCCGGCGTTGATGGACCAGTCGTCGTTTCCTGGACCTGTGTTGTCGCTGGCGACGGTGCCAGTTAGGACTGCGAGCGTGTTTCCCTATGGCTCCGCAGAAGAGAAAAGGGACGTGTCCTCTGACACGATTGGGGCAATCAGCTATCCTTTCTAAGGTCGATCTGAGCCCTATACATATACATGTCCATATACATATACATGTCCATATACATATACATATCATATCATATCATATCATATCATATCATATCATATAAGTTGATGCCCCAGTAGCGTGTCAGCTAGCGGCTAGCATCGAGTGCCCGGCCCACCACAGGTTCATTCCAAGGCTTTATCAGCCTGGATCTCGTAACACACGCTCTTGACGCTCCATACAGCGCTGTTTCAGTGTCGAGGTCAACATTCACGGATGTCCTAGCTTTCTTTTGGGATGCTGCCTGGCTACGATCTAGAAAAAGGCTCCTGTCGGTGTCGACCGGTGTGCAAAAAGCCGGTGTACTTGCTCCAAGGTCTACGAAAGCTCGATGATCAATAGCTGAGATGGAAAAAAGTGGCATCAGCTGCAGGCTGCACAAGATGCTATGCTCCATGATTCCGCAGATTTCCGCAGTTTTGTCTCTGCTTCCCACACGCAGCGCGCGAAAACGCAACAAATTTTAGTATATTGCCCTGCAGCTCAGCTCGAGAATTTCGGAAACAAGGTGTCGCTTGGAGAAACCGTCTAGACTCAAAGCAGTCCTCGCCGCCCCACCGTTAGGGCTCCCGCTGGTGTGGCGGGATGGCAGTTCGCAGCCTCCGAAGGAGCACCGGCCGAACGGAGTCGGAGGGAGTCGGAGGTGGAAAAGCAGCTGTGAGGAGCCTCCGGCTGCTCCTTCTCCCAGCGCTCCTCCGGATGGCCGATCTCTGTGGCCTCGGTTGCAAGATGAGCATGAGCATGAGCATGTGTTTTCTTGTGAAGGGGCGCTGCGCTGCGCGCTGTGTTCTTGCCGAGCAGGTCTCTTCGTGCCACAGACAGCAGGGGCCCCCTCTCCCCCTCCCTCCTCGCTCTCCTCGGGCCTTCGCCGCGCGGCCTCTCGGCCTGTCAGACGGAAGCAGAGACCGCCGCCGCATGTCGCCGCTGCGGCCGTGGCCGAGGCGCTGCTCCTGGCGCCGCTGAGTCTCGGCGGGTCCTCGGCGTCCCTCCCGGCGGTCGCGGCCAAGAAGGCCTCGCCGGCGCCCCGGGGCGGGGCGGACCACCGGACGGACCGAAGCGAATGGGGAAGACTCGAAGGCTTGTGGCCTGGAAACCGCTCCGAGGCTGCAGGCAGACCAGGAGAAGTTGCTTGCGGGCTACAAAGACCTGCAGGGCACCCAGATCCATCCCTCGCCTGCCTCGGCCGCCTCCTGCTCTCAGGGTGTACATGATGCAGAACTTCAACAAAGTCACGAGGAAGTGCGACAAGAACCAGGCTCCTTGGCCCTCGCGAGCGCCGCGCGCTTTGATCGCGGTTGCAGCTCAGTCGAGATGGGGGGGTGGGTGTGTGTGTGTGTGTCAAAGTCGAAGGACAAGATCTCCCAGCCGCTGCAAACCGGCTTTGCCAGGGCCCAACTGAAGGGCCCAAAAGACGAGAGCGAGAGGAGAGAGGAGCCACGGAGCGCTTGGGCGCTTGGAGCGCTGGCCGTGTCGCTGAGGCGGGCCCTGACAGCTGCCTGGCGCAGCCCCTGCAGGCCAGGCCGGGCCCGGCGCATCCGGCGCCTTTCCGCATCTCTCCGCTGCTCCGCTGCGCCTCCGGTCCGCATCGCTCCGTATACGGAGGTGCGGAAGTACCTGGGACAGACCTCGATCAAAGCCAACCTCTTCGACACGAAGCAGATGCTGGTGAACTTCGAGGCACGAGAACCTGCGCATACCTGCAGAGATCAGTGACCAGCTGCGACCAGCTGCGACCAGTTGGCGGGAATGGTCCCCTCAGGGAGGGACGACGAGCCCTGGGCTCGGTGACAGCGAGCAGGGAGTGAAGTCGGAGAGGCTCCTGCCAAGGTATGGAGATCTGGTGGAGGACTTCGAGAGATACAAGCGGGAGGTCCTTCCAACAGCATTTGGAGCTGTGTGCTCTCGCGTCTTTGGCGCAGGCGGACGAGTGGGCCTACTCCTCCAGCTGGGCCGAGGCGACGAGCGAAGCGAGGGAGGGTCAGTGTCGTCGTCGTGGTACTTGTAGGCGTCAAGTCAAATTTGAAATGTGTGGTACAAAGAGGCCAACCCTGGTGGTGGCCGGGACCGCACGGAGGCGCATGCGCGCTCTCTCCGGATGTCGCCCGCTCTGAGCCCGCCCGCCGAGGACTATCTGCTAAGATCCAAGAACTTGGCGGAGAAGGCGACGAAGACCCTGGGCCGGGTGCCTCAGGGCCTTGCCTCCGCCTGGTGCCTCCGCCTGGCCTCCGCCGGTTTTTCCGCCTTTCCGGTCGGGGGGTCGCTCGGCTCAGGTCGGCTTGTGGAGATGTTGGGAATCTCGGAGAACCTGTACCAGTGATAGCATCAGCTTAAGCGGCTTGCGTAGAAGCCATTTTCCGAGGGCCAGGCCAGGAGAAAAGAGGAACATCTGAGCGAGCGGGCGTGTCTCTTCCGCGCTTCCGCTTTTGTCGATATCCCCGCAGGTTTGTGCTCAAAGCAGGGCTTAAGGACACAGGCCACACACCGCAAGCTTGGGAGAGCAAGGGAGAGCAGGGTCGTAGCTTAGCTTCACGTCTTCGCACTTCTCCAATGTGCACCTCGGGCTGCCAGCGAGTGGTGGAAGCGCTCGAAGGCCAGGGCCAGGGCCAGGGCGGGGCCTCGGCTCCAGGAGCCGAGCTCTCCGAAGTCGGCGAAGGCGAAGGCGGCGAAGCGGTGCAAATGGCGGACGCGGACATCACCGGCACACCCTCGAGCTGCGCCATGTCCTCTCCCGCTTGGCTCCCGGACCGCAGCAGCCTTTCAAGGTGCGGCTGAAGCGAGCTCTGTAGAAGTCGAGTGCCCCCTTATGTGTTTCAGAATGGCTTGGGCTTGCACTAGCCGCACTAGCCTCGACGTGGGGCGCGTGCCCCACGTGCCGGTCACTTGGCTAGTTGCATTGGAGGCTGCTCGCTTCGCCAGTGAACGTGCCGAAAGGATGCGGCTGCCACTTGGTCATACTTGGTCTCAACTGTCTATTCCAAGTCTTGGTGAGACATGCAACGAAGATCTTGCAGTGAATTGCTGAGGTGGCGGCCTCTTATCTTTGGGGGACGCTCGATGCAACTGAGACATGAGAAGGACATGACTGCACAGGGGCTTTTGCGACAGGATTGGCTTCGATCTCTCTGCGAGCCATGGCCAGAAGACGAGGCAGCAGGGCAGTAATTGCAGTAGCAGTGCAGCGCAGCGCGTGATTCTCATGCTTCCAACGTTGTGAGCTCCTCCGCTGACGCATTGTTTGTGTCCCCCTCCGACTCCTGCGTGGTTTTCCCATGTTTGAGGTCGCATCATCTGCCCACAAAAAAAGTTTCGAGTAATCGGAGGGCGGGAGCGGGAAAAGAGGAGGGAGAGAGACAGGGTTTGTGGCATTGTATCCTTCACATCCTGGCCTTGGCTTTTTGCAGCCTTGCCGCTTGTGACATCGTGAAGTTTTCTCACCGAGACTCGGCAGGAGCCCGGCCATGCCCGGTTGCAGCGGCTCCACGAGAAGCGGCTCCGCTCAGGGCCCAGAAGAGGGGTGCATTTTCTCCTCTTTGCTTCGCATCGCGCTGCTGCTTCTTGCGCTGCTGCCTCTTTCGTGCCTGCTGCTTTGCGCTTTGCGAAAGGCGAGCAGGCGGCGGAGAGGGCCCTGGCAGAGGCGCGGAAGCTTGCCGAGGAGCAGGAGGCGCCGATGCTTGCAATCGCTTTCGTGGGCGCAGACGCTTGTGCAGCTCCTGCGCTCGCGCGCGCGCGCGCAGACGCGGCGAATTGAGCGCTTGTGCGCCCGCTCGCTGCTCAGGCTCGGGAGTGGCAGGAGGAGCTGAAGGTCTTGGAGACGAAGAGGCTGCGCCTGCAAGGCCCGGCGGCGGCGTCAAAAAGACCCCCCTCTGATCGGATCGCTCCTTCGCTCCTCTCGCTCGCTCCCCTCCCCTCGCTCTCGCTCCCCTCTCACCGCTCATCGCTCTCATCGCGGCTGCTCAGGCGAGGAGCTGGAGAAAGACTGCTTGGCCTATTTTGCCTCCGCGGAGATTCTTTTGAAGGAGGACGTCCTTCCGGAGAGGTCCTCCGTGCCGGAAGAGGTGCAGCCGGAGGAGCCATGAAACTTAGACACTGACACCCTCAATGACACCCTCAAGCTACCTTCAAGCTTTTTTTCAAGCTACCCTCTAGACTCTAGACTCTAGGCTCCAGTCAAAGGGCGAGCGCGGTGCCTCTGTCGCCAGCTCCCGTCATGTCCATGTGAAGCTGCTTGGGGGAAAATGTTGGGGGTGCCATGGAGCTGTTGCAAGACCTGCTTCAACAGCATAAGGCTGGCCAGCAACAGCAACAGCAAGAGCGACACAACAACGACAGCAGGAAAAGCAAGCGACAAACAACGACAACAACAAAGGAGGGGAATCGTTTTTTATCGCTAACCCGAGGTCGCCTCGGCGAAGCCGTCCAGGCCCCCCAGGCCCCCGCCACCCTCCCCCCCTCCCCCCGTCCCCCCGCCAGCAGCGAAATTAGAGCGGACCGAAGGGGGTGGGGGGTGGGGATTTCGGAATGATCATGATCAACGAGGGCGATGAAGCAGAACAATGAGAAGAGCGATGCGATCAAGAGGAAGGAGAGAAGGGTTGAGAGGGGTCTCGGAATCGCCTCGCTCCGCTAGGAGGAAGAGCAGCGATGTTGGCATGTTCTGGTGTCTTGGCTGGGGTGGCTTCCAAGTATGGCCAGTCTTGCATGGCGACATGATGCGACATGCAAGGATCCCGTCGAGAGCTGGTTTCGTGGCCTCTTGAAGTCGCCGGGCTGCAGATGCTCGTGTTCGCACTGCAGGGATCGGCGAAGTCTGAAGGGCTTGCGGGGTCACACTCGGACTAAGGGATCGGCGAGGTGAAGATGCGGAGCATGCGGAGCATGCGGATCATGTGGAGCCAGAGGACTCCGAATTCAACTCGTTTGGCGAAAGCGAGCTGGAGCACGGGCATTGCGGAGCGCTGGCAGAGTTGTGCGCGGCGCTGGACCGGAGCCTTGCCGAGGCCAAGGAAGCTTTCAAAGTGCACGAGGCGAAGGCCGTCGAGGCTGTCGGCGAGGAGTCTCGGACTGTTGGAGTTGTGAAAGTACCCTGTCTTTACGACCCAGAAGTAGGCGACCGTGTTTACCTTCGTCAGGTAGGATCACTAATGGCAGGTGCCTGTATACTGTATGTCAACACTCCCCAAATAGCCACTCGAAAAGGGGATGTGACTTTATTCGTAGATCGTAAAAATTTGCTTGGGCAAATTAGCTTGCTTGATTTGATTTAAGCTCATGGATAGTGAGAAACTTCATGCCGTGCAGTCTGGCTCACTGAGCTGAAGTTTAGAGTGTAAGTGGCGTCTAGCAGGTTCCAGTCTCCTTAACCTGGTGTTTTGTCCTGCGCGTGCTTGCGTGGACTCTGCCGGGGCCTCTGAGGCCAGTTCGCTTTGCTCCAGCAGTACTAGCAGTGTGGAGCAACTTTCCCAGCTTGTGCAGCAAGTGAACCTGATTGATACCGAGTTGCTTGCTCTTCAAGAAAGGGCTGTGCTCGCTGATCAAACTCAGGCCCGTTTCGAGCGACGCCTTAGCATACTTGAGCAGTGGTGTGCATACCTGCGGGGCATTTGCGCCCGCCTAGCATGAGCAAGCGTTCCTCTGAGCCATCAGCTTCAGTGCGGCCTGTGTCATCTCAGCCTCAGGACCTGAATTCTTTCTCACAGGGGGGTTTTGCAGCAGATCCTGAGTCTGAGTTGGAAAGTCTTGCAGTACTGGCCTCGGATTCTAAAGCCCAGCCTAAGTCGGTGGAGCCTCCGGTAGACCGGATCCGGGGGCCCGCCTAGTGTGGGGTTTTCACCAGACTTCTCTTATGGCCCCTCTTCAGAAGCCAATGATGATGCGGGCTCAGAGAGCAAGTGGTGGGATCAAGTCCGTGATATGGAGCAGGAGAGTCCTGCTGCGGCAGATAACATCAGGGTCGTTGATTTTTGTTTCAAGTGCAGGCACAGTGCAACTTGCCAGAGCGAAATCCTTTGAAATTGCCTTAGGAAGAGGGTGTCTTCGGGGAGATTTTTGGGGGAGCCGTGCTTGATATCCTGCCAGACTTGAAGCGATCCGTCCCTACGGTGCTGCCGTCAGATGGGGCTAGCCAGTCGCATGCCCCCTCCGCGGCGAAGCGATCGAGAATCCTGGACAAAGGTGTCTCCTTCGCGTCTGCTGTGAAGATAAGGGTGCCTGTTTCTTGGAGTGAGCAGAGGGAGGCCCAATTTGAAATTGGTATTGACTTATGGTTGACGCGGATGAAAGACTGGGGCAACTGCAAGTTTATCGAGCTGCTCGATGCTGAGCCACCTGGCGACTCTCAAAGGGCAGTTGTGAGCGACGTCTTCAGGGGTAAAGCTCCCTCTACTCTTCTGAAGCGGGGTCGTGCCATTGCAAACTTTCAGGGTCATCTGGCGAGCAAATTTGTCACTTTCCCTTGTGTGGAGAAGGAGCTGTATGCTTATCTGAAACAATTGGAACAGGACAAAGCGCCGAAGAGCAGGTGCACAGGCCTGCTGGAGGCTATAGCCTTCGTGAGACATGTCATAGGAGTAGAGGGGGTTGAGGCCCTCCTCACCAGCCGAAGGTGCAAAGAGGTCGGTATGGCTTCAAAGAATCGAGACAAGCACCAGCTTTGACGGTGAGCCAGCTGGTGCTGTTACATGAAACTTTGGAATCGCATGAAGACCCTTGGACCCGTCACTTTGCTGGGTGTGCACTGATTGCAACCTACAGCCGCTGCAGGTGGTCAGACATTCAGCGCTCCGAAGAGCTCATCATAGACAGAGACTCGAGTGGAGTGTTGATATACTTGGAACTCCGTATAGGGGTTCACAAGACCTGTAGATTGCAAAGCAAGAGGCATCGCTTCTTGCACGTGGTCTCGCCTAGTCTGGGGATCAAAGACTTCGGCGAACTCTGGTTGGCCAGCAGGAGGTCCGAGGTATCGACTCGGACGAAGCGACTACATGGTTGCGGCTTATCTTCCGTCCCGAGCCTGTGCAAGCCATAGAGCCCTCGTCAAAGTCGTTTAAAGCGACGGTGTTGTCCTGGGCAGCAAAGAGGGGGGTGGACGGCCTGTCCATTCAGAGGCTAGGATATCACTCGGCGGGGGGCCTCGACATCGTGTGTATAGTCGCGACGCGCAGGCTCCCTACATCCTCATCGTCGAGAGGCTCTTGGCCGAGGTGCGGGAAGGCAGGTTTAAACCAGACGAGTCGAGAGGAGGCCGCATTGTGAGTCAGCCAGCCCCATTGATCGAGCCATTGGTAAAGCCTGTGGTGAGCACTGGGATTCCCGGAGAGTCCTTGGCAAGCCCTTCCATGGAACCTCACACGGTAGTGAAGGAGGAGCCACACTGTGAAGTGGGGTTCGGAGATGCAGTCAGTGTGCATGGCTCTGACAACGAAAATGAAGGGGAGCTGGAGTCCCTAGGAAGCTCCACGGATTCCGCTGAGGAAGAGGACTACCAGCCTGTGGCGGTTGTAGCCCGTGGGGAGGCTGTTCCTTCAGGTTTTGACATATGGCTTCACGCCACATCGAAGATTGCTCACCTAGGTGTGTCGTGCAATTTTAGAAATCTTTTGTCGTGCGGAAGGGCAGTAAGCCAGAAGCACGCGAAGCTCCAAGCGCGAGCTTTGGACGAAGGCATGAAGCCTTGTCAGTTTTGCTTCAAACGGTGATTGGGTTTGGAGAGAATAAAACGAGACGTTTGCACGCTGGTGAACTTTCCCAGCGGTCGCTTTCCCTGGGAGTGCACGAGGGTGATCTTTCCCCGGCGGTGCGAGTCCTGATGGTGAGCATGCGACATGTGTGCGTGGCGGCTCAGAGAGTGTGCATGTCTTCATATGAGGGTCCACCAAGGGCCGTTTAACTAGGTTTTTGCTCATTTGGACCCGACTGTAGACCCTGCTAAAGGAGAAATTGTATGTTCCTCTTAGGCAGGGTATACAGTCGCTTAGGCAGGGTCTACAGTCTTTGGCAGACTGACCCGATGGCCATCCATATGTCTTCATGTCAGTGATCAACAACATGTTGGATAGCTTAAACCAGCAACATGTTGGACATTTTGTGTAGTTACAGAGGCAGCTCTCGTTTTGAAGGTAGTGCTTGCCATATCTTCGGAGGCGGCTCTCAGACAGAGGTGTCTAGAGGTGACGCCGGATGGAAGTCTCTTCACGGCCTTGTCAGGGCAGAGCATCAGAACGTTTAGGCAGCTGGCCTTTGCCATAGGCACCCCAAGGTCTGAGCCCACCCAGGAACAGTATCAGCAGCTGGCGACTCAGCTCTTCGTGGCGGCTGCTCAAGGCCACTACATACGTCATGCAGGCACTGAAAGACCAGGTCAGCGCTGATGCAGCTGAGGGTCAGGTACGGAAACTCCCGATGGCCGAGCGGGCAGCTCGGATGGCGGAGCAACAGAGGAGACTCGCTGGAGTTCCAATATCTGGCGAGATGCAGCCATCCTACGTTTTGACAGACAAGGTAAATCACATCCTGGAGACAGGGCAACTTGTGTGGGTCTCTCCCTCCATGTGTGGTAAGCGTGATTTGGAGGTTGCCCAAGGGATTGATCCTAAGACACAGGTGGTCCAGGTTGAAAAGGAAGCCTTGAAGGTGACTTTGTCTCAGGCCGAGACAAAAGCAGACTTGGCCACCCCTTTGTTGTTGCACTTTGCGCTTCAGAGGCGGGGCATTGCCTTTGATCAGTGCGGCTTGATAGATTGGAACACTCATCAAGACTACATCCACAGGCTACTCTTCGCTATGAGTGCGCCCGTTCCCCCGGGATTTGGACAAGTCAATGCCCCTCCCGCCGGAAGGATGAAAGGGATGACAGCAGGAGCCGACCACCGGCCCGACGATACAAGAAGCCGCCCGCACCGCCAACAAGGTTCAAGATCGGTGCGAGCGAACACTTCAGGCACTTCATCAACAAGGGGAACTTTGCGCGTAGACACAAAGACTTCCACTCAGACGAGGTCACTTAGTCGCTCCCCAAATTCGGGAACTGGAACTTATCCTGTTTTGCACACCTCCTTCTGGGGGAGTTGCCAGAAAACAGCGAAGGCACAGACCAATCCGCGACGTATGGCCGAGCCGTGGAGTGCTGGATCCACGCGATCGCCAGTGCTCGAGACCGCACCTTCGAGAAGATGTACGCAGAGGTCGCGGCGGGGTTGACAGATCTAATGTCCCTCATGGATGGAGTTCCGACGGCATGGTACGAGGATGTGGATTGGAAGACCACAGAGCCGGAGGTAGGAAGCTTCATGGAGCACTTCTACCCCAGAGAGCGCCCAGACCACAGCATCCAGAGCCCAGCCAAGGATAGCAACAAGGACCCCAAACCGGCCCCAAAGGGGAGCCGCAGGGACGATCCAGAGGAAGATGAGAAGGTGGAAGTTGAAGTCGAGTTCATCGAGGATGAATGGGAAAATTGGGAAGAGGAGGAACAGGAAGAGGAGTGGGAAGAAGACGACGAGTGGGAAGACAATGGGGCTGACGAAGAAGCCGTCCCCGAAACTCCTCCACCCCCAAAGACAACCAACACCAGTGAACTTCGCGAACCGGCGGGTAGCACACCAGCCAGCACCCTGGACAGTGTGGCCAGCTCGGTCTTGAGCCAGGTCTATGTGCCGTTCGACTTCGGGCCCCGGCCTCTGAAATACTATCGCGACTTCAAGATTTCCAAGCGCCTCTCTGCTTCCCTTCGCCATGACAAAGGCGATTTCAACCTGGACTTCAGGAAGAACATGGCGGCGCCGTTGCGCCAGTTGCTGGCCCACCGCATCATGACGGAGGAGCGGATCAGCCAAGCAGAAATCATAGCGGTGGTGTATCACAACGCGAAGCAAAGATTTCGCCTGCTCTGGGAGGGTGGCCCAGACGGAGAGCTGTTGATAGGTGCTGTTCAGGGGCATTCGATGTCCGTCGACAATGCCTCGGTACACTGCAGGGTTGACCAGGACAAGGTCCCTATCTCACCCATGCGACGCACTACGATTTTTACAAAAACATTGCCAGAGCGAGCAGGTGCCTTGTACCTCCTAGGGCCCCCAACGATAGCTCCGTGCGGGGATTGGTTGTAACTACTCCCATGGCCTCGCCCTCGGACTCTTCTAGGCTCTACTCCCCAGACGCGGAAGATGAGCTTGCTCGATCGGATGATGAAGCATGGTTAGCCTCTACGCCGGAAGATTTTCCTCCGAACCTGGAGCTGAGTCCCCTTCCTGACAATGCTTGTTCGGAAGACGAAGCATGGCTGGAGCCCTCCCCGGAGGCCCACGCTTCCACACCAGTTGGACACATGAGGGCAGAACCCGGCACGCCGGTCGGTCAGCTACTTCGACGAGTTCCACAGCGACATGACTATCCGCCGCGGATTCTGCGCACACTGCGGACTCCTACGACAGGAATGTCCTCGCAGACAGGGTCACCCAGGCAGGCTCCCACCATGCGACCCCAGCTTCGGGAAGTCAAGGAGACCACGAGGGAGCCGGCCAGACCGGCCCCTAGGCCAAGCAGAGCCCCGCATCTTTCAGGGCAATCTTCAGATCGCACAAGCAGTCCGTCCAGCCCTGGGGAGGCGGCCTCATCCTCGAACGCTGGGCTTCATCCCCTATCACGTCAGGCTGAGCAGCAAGGCCCGGCACCGGCGGCAGAGCAAGACTAATCATCATGCACCTCCAGAGCACCCTCTCGCAGCGACGACAACGGCCCCCAGCCGCACAAGACTTCCGCCACGAAACAAGGCCTGTGCCAAGATGCTCGTTAAGGCCGGTTTCCGCTGCAGTCGTTGTTTTCTCCGAGTGAAAGAAGACTGTCGCTGCCCTGCGGACGAAAACTGTGTCTGCTCCGGACTCACGCATAGCTCAGCATCGGCCCTTGGAGGGAGCCGGACTGCACGGCGTGTCAGGCAATACTCCCCCCTGACACAAAGGCCAGAAGGCAGGCAGGAATCAGGCCCCAACACCCAATCGACACCCCGTCTCAGCTCGCAGGTACCACGGCCCAGACGGACAACAACCAGCAAGCACTACCAGGACCGGCTGAGTACATGGAGGCTTGCGATGTTGGATTGGGGCTCCTGTCGCTTCTGCTTAGTTTCCTTAGGCTCGCTTGTCGCAAACGACCAGGGCCACCATGGCAAATACAGCGCAGACTCCCCGGTATCTTTCGTAGACGACCCCAGAATCGAAACAGTAGGGATAGAAAGCACAACTGTCAGAGCCGCGTCGGTCCCAAGTCCGACGGCCCAGCCGCCACTCAAAGTTCACACAGACGACTTAGGCTGGGTGAGGTGAGGGTTCCCCCTGGGCCCCCCACAGGGTGTGAACCTACCAGTGGCAACAATCCACGGCCTTCCCATGGAGGGAAGGAGGCGGGTGGCGCGACCCTACTCCGTCCGGGTACCAGGAAAGCAC